AAACAACTTTGTTGATCAATCGCCGTTGCGGTGCAAGCATCACAAAAATAATATGAAGTCCGACTGCGGTAGGAATATTCTTCCAATAATAACCGGCATGAAATGAACCAATGTGACAATCCATGAGTAGGTGGTGGCAAAAATTGGTGTTAAAAATAATAATTGGTTTTAATAAAAATTGGTTATAATAAAAAAATTGGTGTTAAAAAAAAATTGGCAAAAAAAAAAAATTGGCTAAAAAAAATAATCGAAGTAAAAAAAAAATAATGTAGAAAAAAACTGAATAATAAAAAAAATAAAGTAAAAAAAAGAGGTTTAAAAAAAAAGAAGGGAAAAAGGAGGGGAGGGGAAGAAAAAAAGGAGGGAAGGAGGGGGAGGAGGAGGAGGAGGGCTGAAGGAAGAAGGGGGGGAGGGGGGAGGTCTGGGCGAAGAAGGAGGAGGGGAGGGAGGAAATCCGAAGGTAGGAGGGTTGCGGGTCTAGGGAAGTTGCGGATGAAAAAGGGTGGCGTGTCAGGGGAGATGGCTTCGGATGGAGCTTGGTTGTGGATGGACTGATTTAGGTGCGGGCGCACGGAAGGCGTGACTGCGGATGCGAGGTAACAACTAAGCTGCGGTAAGAAGAAGGTGATTGTGAATGGTGTTGACTGAGGTGCGAGGACTTCGGTCCGAGGCTGCGGTCTGAGAGAAATCCGCAAGGGGGGACTTCGGTAAGCAGACTGCGGTCAACAGGCTATGAGGGAAGGCTTCGGATCCTCAGCCAGGAAGAAGGGAAGGCTACGGTCCTAGGCCTGAGAGGGGTTGCGGACCAATGTCTGAGAGGGGCTGCGGGGAGGCTTCTTAGGAGGCTCCGGTAGAAAGTTTTTGGCTGCGGTTCTGGGTTCCGAGAAGGGCTGGATAGGTGACGAAAATGCTATTTTTTCATGAAAAATGGTACCGCAAAGGCCATTTATTTATATTTGATTCAGGGGAATATTTTTTAAAGCAATTTAAGTCAACAAGTGGGTATTGGGAAGACAAAAAGAAGAGTGTGCAGGTGGGTTTTAGGAACAAAAGGTGATGAGATTGGACAACGTTATATGGTTTTTGTCTTTTTGATGGAGCAAATAGTGGAGTACTCTTTACACAAAAGAGTAACAAGGACAAGATGCTTTATGCCAACACTTAAACACGTCCATATACACTAATTTGAAGATTCACATCAACAAGTAAAAGGTAGAATGTATGAATATCATACCTTTTTGATGATCATAATAAACATGCTGTAGAAAAAAAATCTTCTAGAAAAAGTACTTTCCTCCATTATCTTCAAGAATAATAAGCCCATAATTTTTGTGTCTCATTTCCAAGGCATAAATAAAATGCCTGGAGCACATCTTCAACTTTTTGGAGACCACAAAATTAATTTATCCTCCCATTTTTCTTCATTTCTTCAACAACAAAAAAATAATAACTTTTAAGAACATCTTTTTTCCAGCAATAAATAGAACGAGCAGCAGCAACATTTTATTTTTACTAAGATAGAACTAAGAATGAACTCATAAAAAAAAATTCCGGTAAGAAGCCAATTTTTTTTTTCTTGCAAAAACATGGAAAAATCACAAGATAATCACCGAATTGGAGTCGTTCCCTTGAACTAATCATGAGATCTTCAAGGTACGACTCTGATACCAATTGTAGAGACCCATTTTTTATAACAAACGGTGAGTGCGGAAGTAAGATATCTCGAGATTAATCGTGTTTTTGGAAGTATGAACACAAAGAACATCTTATGAGGTCATGAAAAAGACTAAGAACAATAGAGAATAATAATATTAATGAAACATGAAGAACATGGTGGGAGAGAAACTCTCACTCGGTGGGAGAACCCACCACTTTCTCTCTCTAGATTACATTGTGAGAAGTAAAGTAATCTCTAAGAAAAGTAAAGTGAGCTAGCTAAAGTAAATAATGACCAACTCTCCTTTTATATAGAAGGGAGAGATAAACACCAACAATACAAATAAAGGGAAAATACAACATAACTATCACTCATTATTTGTGGAGCATTTCCATGCACCAACAAGTGGTGAGATGAATGAATTATTTTAAAAATAAATTAGGATGATGGTGGTGTATTCCAAAAAAAAAAAGAATCATTCCAATAACAATGAATTAAAAATATTAACTAAAAGAAATTAATAATCCAATAAAATCATAATTATTAATATATAAATATTATAAATTATAAATAATATTTATTAATATATAATAATTCAATAAAAAACAATTAATCCATAAAAAAGGTAATTAAAAAAATAATTATTTAAAAGAAATTAATAATCTAATAAAATAATATTTATTAATACATAAATACTATATATTAAAAATAAAATTTATTGATATATAATAATCCAGTAAAAAAGTAATAATACAATAAAAAAGAAATTTAGAAAAATTATTTAAAAGACATTAATAATTTGAGAAAAAAAATATACGAGGTTTGGGACACAATTGTCTTTCCACCCCATTCATCACGAAAAATATGATTTTGCGGCTTTTTAGGAAACACATATCTTACCGGAAAAGACCAATTTTTTTTATTTATTAGGGAGTCATATTTGTGAATATATTTCTTACTTTAATGTGAGGTTAAAGCCTTAATATATATATATATATATATATATATATATATATATATATATATATATATATATAACATTACATAAAAGAGAAACTAGACAAAATGAGTACTTTCAGCACTAAGGAAACCTTATTCTATATATGTACATAAGATTAAATGGGCCGGTTGGTTCTGACACTCCCCCTTAAGTTGAAACATTGATGTTAATCATGTTCACTTTGTTACAAATATAAGTGATTCGATTCCCAAGTAGCGCTTTGGTTAATACATCAACGAGCAGACTTCTGGTTATAATGTGAGGTGTGGTGGTGGTTTCACCTTCAACCTTCTCACGAGTAAAGTGGCAATCTACTTCAATCCGGTGCCACTGTGTTGCCAGACCTTGTGGTGACACGAGAGTGGTTGACTTCTCACCATATTTGACTTCTTTATATTGATTGGATTTACTAGTGAGGGAGATGATTGGTGTTGTATGAAAAAGGCAATAGTTGATATTCTTGGTAGTTATGTTTAAATGTACTTTGTTTTTACTATTGTGTTTTGTTTGAATGACATAGAGCCTTTTTAGTAATTCTTAATTGAGTCATTTATCGAATTCTAAATCGATATGCAATATCAAAAATAGCAAAGAAATTTTTTTTAACAAGTAATAGTGACCGAAAAGTATTTTTTTGCCAATCATGCAAAGTGAAGGGTTTTCTAAAATAATTTACATGTGATAGGGAATTAAAGGTTTGTTTGGTGAACTTACCGCTGACTTGAATGTGGACATTGTTAACTACGACAATCAAACTATAAATTTTCTTTCGACATGAAATGTTCCATGATCGTGCAAAGCACGTTGATGTATGTTATCATTTTTTTGTGAGGAATTATTGCTAAAGGAGTTTTCAAGGTGAGCATAATTGCTATCCATGACAATCTGGGGAATAAGATGACAAAAGTTATTCCTACGAGTAAATTTTGATTTGTTTACAAGTTTAGTCGGTATCCGCTATTCAAACTTCAAGTAGTTGGTAGGCATTCAGTAAAGGAGACTAGAATAATCATTTTACTTTTGAAGAGGTCAATATGTGTTTCCTAGTTGATTGATGCATTGATGAAGTTTTGTTATGCTTTTGGGCAATGATTATTTATTTTGAAAACAAAGTGTAGAGATTTGTTAAGTAGTGGTCCGCACAAAACTCAAGATCTTATAATTCAATGTATTTGAATCTGTATGACCGTACGATGTAATAGAAACACAAAAAGATAAAAGAAAGGGTAAAATGGTCTTTTTAAATTGACAAGAGATTAGTGTAATTTTTTTAAACCATAGATATGCATCTTGTCAAATTTTAAAAAATTTGAATAAACTTACGAATCTGACCTAACTATAGGCACCAAAATTGCAATATACTCTTCAAAAAGTGTATACAAGTTAAAACAACTATTTTATTTTTTGTTTCATAAGAGAGTCATAGCTTAATTCTTAGAAACCATGGTTGGTCCATTTTATTTTCTCTCATATTTACCCTACATTTTTTTATTGACATATTTACTCCACATTTAATTCCCCAATACTTAGCACACGTACTTATATTTATTCTTTTTTTTCTTTGCATTGTATACATTATTTATTATCACTCGCACCCAAGGTTCGAAATAACGTACGACGTGATTTGACGGCAATGTCAAGCCTCAAGTTTTTCCGAGCCTTGGCGAGTCACGTCGGTTGTAATGCGTGACTTAAGGCAACAATTTTGTATATAATTAATATTTTTATATGTATTTTCAAGTATTATTCTATTTTATACACATATATTAATTAAAACGACATTTTGGTAAAACTTAACGACAGATACAAGCCTTGGAGCCATGACGCCTAGAACCATAACGAGCTTTTTAGAACCTTGCTCATGGCTCTCGGTGGTCTCTAATGCCCATGTTTTTTTTTCCTTGTTAGGTTTTACACGTAAATCTCAATGTGTTTGTCACTAATGTTAGTTCTTTATTAATTATTGTAAATGTTAATTCCCATTATATACTAGTGATTGATTTTAATATAAGGTGTTACTCTACATAATAAAATCATTTGAATATCTGGATTGGTTGTAAATGTTAATTCCCATTATATACTAGTGATTGATTTTAATATAAGGTGTTACTCTACATAATAAAATCATTTGAATATCTGGATTGGTTGGGACTTCACTTTGAGCTCGTTTTACAAACTCTGCTATCTCAGACAAATGTTTATTGTCCTTTACTCATTTGATATATATATATATATATATATATATATATATATATATATATATATATATATATATATATATAGAAACCATTGATAAGAAAACCAAAATGGTAGCATGATCTGGACTGGGACTTGATGAAACATCCATCGTATATAATTTATTTAGATATATTTATTTATAATAACATGATATAGCATATGATATGATGATGAGTACACGGCTATCATTTTCAGACTATGACACACAAAGTAGCTAGCAATAGCATCACATAGTAATGGGCGGCAACCTTTGAATAGACATGATAACCTCAAAGGGTTATATGTTCCTTATTTCATAGTACGTACTTATTTCAAAGGTTATTTGATTCTTATTTCAAACTCTCAAGCTTTCAAATAGACACCAATGCAATCGAGATAATAGCCAGCAAGCCCGTAAAATCCAACAAAAGAACCAACATCCCATGGTACAGGGAAAGGCGTCCCTCTTACATTACCAAAAGGTCCATGAGTTTTCTTGTTTGTGATGAATGATATTGATGATATTACAGGTAAGTCAGGAACACTTCCCCTTGATAATGCACTTGTTCCACTGATGCCAGTTATTTCCTCGCCAGCTTCAAATATTACCTGACCATGAATGACAAATTATACATATCAAAGATAACTAAGGATACTAAGATACATATATGTTATATCAATCATTATAAAGAAACTTGAAGATTAAATACTTATGAATTATTTACCTCAGACACTTTCTCTCCACCGTTCCAACCACCATACATTGGAGTAGTATGTGTTGAGTCTCCACATTGTGTGGTGAACATGAGAGAGTATATAAGATCACCATGATCAATGGTTATCTTCTTCAGAAGATGTTTTTTCTCAAGTTGGAACGACCAAACATTTTGTGGAGTTCCAGGTTCATTTTTCCCCCATGTTCCAACCTGCATGATTTCCTCATCGGCTTTTAGATACACACCAATGGCATCAATATAATAGCCAGCAAGCCCATAAAACCCAACTAACGAGCCTTTGTGCCATGGTAAAGAAAACACATCTTCAGTTGCATGGCCGAAAGGTCCATGTGTCCTCTTGTTTGTCTTAAAAGATAGAGACGAAATTACTTGAAAACCACTTTTACTACCAACGGATCCACCAACCTCAACAATTTCCTCATCTTCGTCAAAGAGTACCTGATTAATCAATCCACCAAGAATATTGATTAATAAAAAAGATGGCTACATCTTAATTGATTAGTGGAGTTAAGAGATCAACTCACCTCGGCAACCGTGTCTCCACCATTCCAACCACCAAACTTGTCAGAATTATGCAAAGCATCTCTAAATTTAGTTGTGAACATGAGAGAGTATATTACATCACCATGGTCAACGGTTATCTTCACCAATTTATGATCTTTCTCAAGTTCAAAAGACCATACATTCTGAGGATCTCCACTTTGTCTTCCCCATTTTCCGACTCGAATAAATCCTGCTACTTTGCTAGTTTCTACTCCAGCCATGAGAGACACAGTAAGTATAAAATAACTTAAATGAAACAAGAAAGCGTGTCTCTCAAATGAATGACCAATGGCTCCTTATATACGTGCTAACCGTAACTATTTTGAATCGTTAATTTAGATGGAAATAAAAAGCATGAAGCAAAACCATGTTTTCCTCAAGTTCACTGTTTAAAAAAAGTTGGTGGTTAATTCATATCAAAATTAGATGATAAAGTTTAATTGTCCTTGCATTTTTCATGAAAAAAAAATATTTCATAACTTCAATGATTGCTCACAAATAAAAAAACAAGAGTGCGAGACATACTAGAATTTTCGAGTAATTGTTGATCTCTTGTGGGATTAAGTTCTTGTAAATACACAAATAATCAAATCCACAAATAATATTGAGAATTATATGTCATTTAATCGCGAATAATAAATTCAATTATTAAATAATTACTAAGTTTTTTCTGGAAATCAGTTTGAGTTTGATCCTACCGGACCGGATCGATCAGATCTCATTGTAAGAAAGTTAGAATGAAAATTGTCCTGTTGTCGGGCGAATTGAACACGAGACGAAAAATTAAAACAAAAAGAACTGGAATTTTGCTGTTGCAAAATCGAAGGAGAGAAAGGAGAACAGAGATCGAATGATCTTGGTTAAAGAATACAAAACAAGAGGAGTTGTATTTACTGTTGCAGAAATCCTACAAACCAACCTAAAAACTGTTGTATTTATAGAAAAAATAACGTGATTAGTACTTGTGGTTTCAAAAAAATGGCAACCTAAGGACAACGTTGAAAGATGATACACTACTGCTCCTTGTGGTTTTAAAATCTTGCAAGGTTGGTCCTTCTGGTTGACACTATTGCTCCTTATGGTTTAAAATCTTGCAAGTTTGATCCTTTTGGTTAACACTGTTAGAATTTTTGTTAAGTCTTATGTAAAAAGACTTTTGTGGCTGTGTACCAAAATTCTTAAAAGACAAAATTTCACAAATGGACCCTGTGGTTTTCCAATTTTTGTTCGTTCCAACAACTATGGAAGAACCGATAAATGCAAAGTTTCTTACTCAGAAACCAGAAGAACTGGAATTTTGTTGTTGCAAAATCGAAGGAGAGAGAGAGAGGGGAGAGAGAGAGAGAGAGAGAAAAAGAGAGAGAGAGATCGACGACCTGGGTAAAACATACCGCACAAAATGAGTTGTAATTATAGTTGCAAAAATCTTAGAAGACTGCAAAAAATAAATATAGTTGTAGTTATAGCTAAAAATAATATGATTAGTACCTGTGGTTTCTAAAAAATGGCAACCTAAGGACAATGTTCAAAGGTGCTACGCTACAACACTGGTCCTTGTGGTTTGAAAAACTTGTAAGGTTGGTCTGTTTGGTTAACCCCGTTAGAAATTCTCTCTAAGAATTTTGTAAAAATACTTTTGTGTCTTTGTACCAAAATTTTTAAAAGACAAAATTTCACAAATGATCCTGTGGTTTTTCGAAAAGTGGCACTTTTTGGATATCTTTGGAAATAGTTACCTTGATGGCTCTTATGGTTTCAAAATCAAGCATGAGCTCCTATTTGATAGTCACTGTTTGGGAATGTTTTTTGACTGGAAAAGAATCCATGTTTTGTGATCGTACATCTAACTGACTATTGAATGATGAAAAATAACCATATTACCTTATTATTCTATACTGTGATGGATGAAGTTGCTAAATAATTATAAAAACATTCAAATTGTCATACAAAATCAAAATTACACATTAATCATTTCAAAATACATATAAAATTATCATACAAAGTAATTTAACATAAATCAAGTAAAATACAAATATAATATCGGTTAGCTTGTTTTTAGTTTATCGTTTTTCAAGTTGATGTTCCATTGTTATTTTTCTAGTCATTTTTTTTATAACTCGTGTGATTCTTGACATGGTTTATTTCCAATAGTGGTGGGCTGGATGGGATTTTTTTTAAATAAATTATGATGATGGTGATGTTGTCTAAAAAAAGAATTATTCCAATAAAAATGAAATAAAAAAATTAAATAAAAGAAATTAATAACCCAATAAATTAATATTTATTAATATATATAAATATTATATATTATAAATAATATTTGTAAATATATAATAATCTAATAAAAAAAGAATTAATCTAGAAAAAGGAAATTAGAAATTAATAATCCAATAAAACAATACTTATTAATATATAAATATTATATATTAAAAATAATATTTATTGATATATAATAATCCAGTAAAAAAGTAATAATCCAACAAAAATAAATTAAAAAAATATTTAAAAGATGTTAATAATCCAAGAAAAAAAGTGATGAGGTTTGAGGCATAATTGTCTTTCCGACCATTCAACCAGAAAGATATGGTTTTACGACTTCCTGGGAAAGGCATATCTTTCTGGTTCATTCAGTAATAAATACCCGTTTGGACCTAAAAAGATGTCTATCAAACCAGACCTTAGTTCTTTTAGCTAACTCTATTAGAAGTAAGGGTTAAGTACTTGGTAAATAGCCTATTACCTTTCTACTTATTGTCATCTCTCAAACGCCCAGCGTACGAGGGTTACGAGGGGCGTAAGATGGCCTGGGCAAACCCTAATTTTTAGGGTTTGTGCCCTATTTAACCCTTATTAACTCACCTCCTAGACATTTTAGACCAACCCCCACCTTTTGAAAACCCTAAATCATCCCTTTGCCTTGTGTAGGGTGCTGTTGTGCTCTTGTTTTGATCATTTAAGGGTTTTGTGCATCTTGAAGTGGTAGAAGAAGAACGTTGAAGACTCGTCCTTTGGCAAAGAGCTTTGAGATCCAACTTTATCATCTCCATTTTATGGAATCTAAGGTATAAAGTTCAAATCTTGTCATCTCATTTCACCGATCTATTTCCTTGGCTTGTATTTGGTTGGTTTGTGAGCTAAGGTGATTTTTGGAGCTTATCCTTGTAGATCTAGGCATATTAAGGGCTTCTTAAGCATAAAGGTGCAAACTTTATGGTGATTTTAGTCTCATGCATGTGTTAAGTCATTTGTTAAGCCCTTTTGAGCTCTAGTGCCCCATTAAGCCATGCATACACACAAAGTTGGAAACTTTACGTGATAAACCAATTTAGGGAAGCCATATCTAGGTTTTGGGTCAATGTCTTAACCGATTAAGTGCTGAATAAGGATGGTTGGCAAAGGTGAGGAGTTCGCTAGGTGTATAAATGGGTACGCCATGCGTACAAGCCTCCATGTGGGTAAGCTTAGCGTACAAGCTGAGTACGCCTCGCATACTCAACAGTTAGGCTTCAGAAGTTTTGGGCTCATTGTGTCGGTCCATGATTGGACTATGGATGATTAAGGCCTTATTAACCCATAATAATGATTTTTTGGGCTAAGGATGTTTTATTGGACTTTGGTTGAATGCCCATAAAGGGGTTTTGGGACCAATTGTCTATATTTGGGCCTTGGATGATTATTTTGGAATTTGGATATTTTGGACATTTTGATTGGGCCTTGGCCTTGGGCCAAGTTAGGGTCAAGGTAAAAAGGAATTTTACGCCAAGTTTGAACTCTTAGTGTGAGTCGGGATCCAAATATTAATTGGATGTTATTTTGTTATAGCGCGAGGAATTTAGCGGGCCAGTAGCTAGAGATTTTTTGTGAGATTCAACAGTGTGAGGTGAGTTTCCTCACCATGTTTAGCGGGTCTTAGGCACCAGTTCCAGCCCATGATCAGTTATGCTAGGATACTGGATGTAACACCGTAAAAATTAAGACAATTTTTCGCATTTTAAAACACATTCATTAATAAAATCTCATTGTATCATATCATTGTTCACCAAACATTTCCCAAGATCAAATCATAAATAACTCCGCGGGTGTGTGTACAGATCATGTTGGCGCCTTCCCGCGATCATCACTAGTACCTAAAACACATAACACATAACACTGTAAGCATAAAGATTAGTGAGTTCCCCAAAATACCACACATAACACATACTAGCCACTCGAGGCTATAACTCTGTGGGCCCTTGGGCCCTAACTCTGTGGATCGTCTGGTCCTAGCTCTGTGAACCTTCTGGTTGTAACTATGATGTACTCTGATATTCACATGACATAAATCACATAGGAATAATGCAGTGAAACACATCACATAAATAGCATACAATAACTCTATCACATATGTCTAATTACCACTCAAGGTAAAGTATAGTGAAAAGACTCACCTTAGATGTCTCGGTAAATCCGTGACTCGGTAGCAGTATAGTCTAGCCTCCGCCTAATCACATAAAGTAAAATACGCTCATAAATATAACTCTCGATACTAGACCCAACCCTCTCTTAGTACCCTCAGATGGGTAAAAGACCATTTTACCCCTTTCTTAACTCACAGACCCCATTGTTGATCAATCCCTAAAAGCCAACAAAGTCAACGGTCAAACTTTGACCTGACTCGTCGAGTGCACTTGGGCGACTCGACGAGTCTACACGTGAACTATACTCCTCTGATTCTCTTTTGACTTACCGAGTCACTCACTTAACTCGGCGGGTCACTCTCTAGACTCACAGTCTCGGGACAACTCGACTCGACTCGTCGAGTCTGTTCATGGACTCAGCGAGTCCAATCCATGCTCACTTCCAACGGCTTCCTAAGGTCAGATCTGATGCTCTACTCAATAGATATATCCTTTGTAGTCCCAATAATCATGTAAAGTTCGAAGCTTGATGCCCATGCAAAGGCTCCAAGGTTCTATTTGAAGAAATGACCTCTAATATGGCATCCTAAGTTCATATTCACCAACAATCCTCATAATGCTTAAAGGATTAAGGTCTCTGGACCTCTATGGATCTAGATCCAAGACCATAATACGAAAAGGAACCATATACTCAATCAAAACCATCTACCAAAGGGTCTAGAAAGCCCGAACTCTATAAACAATCACCAAAACAGAAGATGGATCGAGATTATACCTCAAATAAGCACTCCTGAGCTCAGAGTTCCTCCAAATAGCACCTCCTTCAGCCTCCTCTTGATCTTGATCACCTTCTTCTTGCTAAACCAATGATAGAAAGATCAAATATGGCCT